CTTTTGATCTTTATCCCATGTTTGTGTTTTTGTCAAGTTCATGGACCACAGAAGGTAGAATGGTCAAAGTTGTGGTGACAGCAATGAAATAGGAATTATATGATTTTGTTCAAATGTCTCATTGCCCTCTTGGAAACTCTCCACTGAACTGAAATAAGCGCAGAGAATAAGATGTTTTACTGATGTTTTACAAACTGAATGCATCGCCCTGAACGAGACAAGAAATACTGAGTGTGCCTCAGAAGCTCCTGACCTTACACCCTTCTGTCCACCTGACCCTAGAACACCCACCCCACTGACACTTAACAACATAGATCAGAGTTAACTATTTGCTGAAATTATAACCAACGGATCTTCCAATATATAGTCTTTTGTTATGTCTGTCTTCCTGCCCTCAGCACTACACTATAAAGTTTAACCACATTTTGTGTCAGGATGTAGCTCAATCATCCGGTGTTTAAGTGGACAGCAGCTTGCTCTTCCGTTCTGCTGAGGAGCATTTCGGTGGTTTGTTGGTGAGACTTAGAAATGTTAGTGCCATGAGCATGCGAGGGAACAGCACCACTGTGATAAGCACATGCATTCCTTCCAGAACTGGGGCCCCTGGATGTGTGTGTTGATGGGCTTTAGTGGATGACTACTTATCTGCTGGGAAAAGAAAAAGCTCATGGAAACTTGTGTCTGAAAAGGGGGCACATGCTCATAGGAGGCAATTCATTGCCCTGTACAAGAGCTGAGTGCCTGCTCCCACAGCAGGCCTCCTCCCCACGCTCACTCCTCATCCTTCTGCTCATCTGAACAGCCATGATTCTCAGCATTCAAGAAGAGGATTTGCACAACCTTGAAGACCCTTCCGAGTCATCCACAAGAGCTTCCCCTTTGCCCTTAGCAGTTTAAGTGCAATGGCCAGTTCATGCTGAGCTCTAATTCATGTCCAAACTTAAGTCTATTTTCACCCTCTAGACAGTGCTATGAAAGGAAATTTAGAAACAGAGTCTTGCCCATAAGACATTTAACTGCCCTAGGAAGTATTAATGTCCATAATGCAAATTAGAATTGGATGAAATTCATTTTAAAACCATGTAAGCAAGAAGATTATTAGTATTAGCAGCCAAACTGTTTAAGGTCCATATTCTAGTATGTGATTAACTACATTTTGCCATTTTCCCAACAGGGCCCTTCACATAAATGTGCAACTCTAAACTTGGTCCAAACATTCACCAGCTTGTCAATGACACACATTAAGACAAGTTAAATGCCATGAGAGTTTAATTATATTAAATTCTGCAAATGTAGGGGACCAAACTCCACACCAACAAATTGACTCAGTCAACACATTGTTGCCTTCTACTTCTCTGTTCACCCTTCACAATTTACCTCAAAGGCTTTCTTTTATTTGAAACAGAGTTTAATTCTGCCACCCACTTAGCATAGTAGTTATTAATTCAATAACTGGTTTCTTAGCTGACATTGTGTTAGCCACTGTGCCAAGTCATAGGCAGGATGAATGTGGAAGCAGAAACCCCACCTGCTCCCCATCCACACAGGGCTCATGTAGTTGGGAAAAGAGTTCTATGACTCATGTGGTGGGACAAAACACTTTAAAATGAAGCCGTGTAGTAGGTCTAACAGTATCTCCCCAAATTCACCGAGTCTCAAAAAGAGACTACTTGGAAATTGGGCGTTTGCAGAAGTAACCAGTTAAGTTAATCATTCTGGATGAGGGTGGGTCCTTAGTGGAATGTTTGGCATCCTTACTGGAGAAGTTGGAGGGACATTCAGAGATAGGCACAGGGGAGAGGACATATGAGGCTGAAGGCAGAGTTGGAGCCATGAGCTGCAAGCCAACGGGCACCAAAGCCTGCTGGGAATCACAGGAAGCCAGGAAGCAGCGAATGCGGCTCTTTCTCAGAGCCCTCACAGGACCAGGGCCCAGAGGAAACCTTGATTCCAGACCTGGATCCTCTGGGATGCTGAAAGGTTGTACTGCATGATGCTACCAGCCTTGTGATAGCTCTTGAAACCTAGAACACTGCTAAACCATGTTAGGTTGAGCCATAAGAAACAAGAGTTTCAGTGCTTTGACCTAGGCGAACAAACATTCTATGGCCCAACCTAACAGATCATGCACTCCTGAGAGACGGTCTTTGTTGGTCAGAGAAAGCTTCTCTGAAAAACTATAAGAGGAAGTGAACAAATAAGGAGTTCATGAAGTTCAAGAGAGAAGGAAGAAGCGGGACCCAGCAGAGGGCACAGCTGGTACCAGGGTCCTAAAGCAGAGACTCCACACACTTGTGAGGAACTGAAGCAAGATTTTATTGGACCACTCTTCCAGGTAGGGAGGAGTAAAAATGAGCCTTTGAGTCCAAATGGAAGATTTTGATATTTGTCTGTTTGTTTTAAGAGCAGTGGAATACCAGAAGAAAAGTTTTAAGACAAAAATTGAGACTTTGTAATCATTGAATGGAAACAAATGAGAAGAAATCTACTCAGGGAATGAGACTCCTAACAGGGCCAACAGGAGCCCTGCTGGTTCTGGTCAGGGGGTTCTAGTAAGGCTGAAAGGAGTAAATAGATAGAGTGGGTTTTGGAAAGAGCTCCCTGTTCAGATTTTGATGAGATGTTCTGATTAATGTACCTTTGCCGACATGTCTCTGAGAAGATGTTGAATCCCAATAGAACATGTAGTTCAGTCCCCTCAGTGCTAGCTATCTTAGCCAGGCAGAACTATTCTGCTGCCTAAGAAGTCTGTCAGAGTAGAGGGAAGCAACACAGTGGATTGTTTTTCTCATTCCTCCCTTTGTGCTCACCCGGCAAGCACTCTGGTCATATCTCTGCCATGGTAACCATTATCTTTTATGGTCATTGTTTGTAAAACTGCCCGCCTTGCTAATAATGTGGGCTTGGTAAAGGCAAATGTAGGGACTTTTTTATTTTCATAGCCCTAGCATTTTGCAGAGTCTGACCTTTGGGATTGGATGTAGATATAACAGTGTGACTACCTAAACAAATGAGCCAGCAAATGCAATTTAGCAAGCACCTTCTTCGTTCCATCAATCTTACCAGCCTGTCTATGGCCTGATATAATTGATTACCTTACTGTCTGTTCTGCCTTAATAAGTTAGCTGGTTTTTCTTTTCTTTTTCTGTAGATTCTCCTTACCACTGACAATTTTTTCACAAATGTATCAATGACCTTTTAAAAGACTTTTTCGTAAACCCTCATTCATGTAGAAAGTCACTTCTGTGATTATCCCCATCTCATGGAGATGCCTGTTATTTTTGTTTTCCTCCTTTGGGAGCTAAGTCTTTACCATCATCATCAACAACAATCATCAGATTATACACATGTCCTCTGTATGCATTGCCACACTGATGGAAGACCAGTGGCCCCTCCCTAAATAATATTACCACCCAAGAGAGAAAAGCAAAGGCTGCCCACCAAATCAAAAGGTGTATGCATGGCTAAGGTGGTCCATGTATATTACTCAAAATTAAGTGGAAAAATCATTTAGCATGGTGAGAAAACCAGAAGTCTGGACCCATGACCTTGCTATGTGCTTTGGACAAGATGGACAGCTGAGTCATTTATCATTGGAAGTGGAGTATGATCTCACTCCTAGATGTAACAGTCCTGTTCTTTCTGGCCAATTTCTATCTCCACAGTGAATTAAGAGGTAGCTTGCTTAGCCCTTTCCGTTATCAAATCTCTCTTGACCTCTACTGCTAATTCTCACAGTCCTGGGCGTGGGGGGCGGGGGCTGTAATTTTAAAGTAAAACACATTCCATATGGGGGCCATGAGCCAATAGCTTCTGATGTATCCCTAGCCCATTTCTGAACTAATAGAACCAGTGTTACAGGGTGGAGAGGGGCAGAAGACAAGCAAGCCATTGAGAGAGAAATTCTGATCCACAGAGAGGGTCCCTTTAAGAAGCCAAGATAAGTGAAGAAAGATCATAAGAAAAACCAGCATTGGAAGTCTGGGAAGAAAGGATAAGAAAATGTGGAATGAATTCTAGTTAAAATTGATCCTGGAATATTGTCTCCTAAATTCAGCACTGGCTCCAGGTATACTGAGGTTTATTTAAAACCCAACTTGTACATATAGAAGTATATACTCTTGGAGCTGGAGAGATGGCTCAGTGGTTAAGAGCACTGTCTGCTCTTGCAGAGGACCTAGGTTCTATTCCCAGCTCCCACATGGCAGCTATGAACTGTCCTTAACTCCAGTTCCAGGGGAATCTGAAGGCCTCTTCTAACCTCCGTGGTATTGCACGACACATGTGCACTCATATACATGCAGGCAATACACTCATACACATAAAATAAAAATTTAAAAATTAAATATTAAAAAAAGAAGTATATACTCTTAAGCAGATAAGGAAACAGATGAGCAGGTCTGTGTGCTTGATATTCTCCACAAAGATATTTTATGGCATTTAAAGTTAGAAACTCCCAAGTATCTTTAGCCATATGGAAAACGCTTGCTTCATTAATCAAATGTTATATTTAAGATTTTCTTTTTAATTTGCAAGACTACATGACCAATTTTTTGGTATTTTCTCTCTTTTCAAATACTACCTCATTCGCATGATTGTAGAGTTCATATTTTAATTCGTTTTTATTCTTTTGGTTTCTACTTCTAATATGTCTGTGTTAAACAAATTTGGGTGTTTATGTAAGAAACCATAAGTAAAAAGTAAAAGATAAAGCATGGAATGAAAGAAAGTTTGTCTGGGGGAACAAAACAACAAAGATTTCTTCTACGCTTTTTTTCTAGTTTAGGTTTTTGTTAAGTTTTGTCCTTTTTCCTGGAACTCAAAGTTTTAGCATGCAGAGAGCAATCTAAGGGAATACTGCACAGGGGCAGGCAAAGTCGTGCGCTTGGTGTGTCTTTGCTGCCATCTACTGGCCGCCTGTGCAATTACTCATGATTATTCTGAAATTTCTAACATAACATTTCCATTATGTTCCTCTCTTCTATTTTTTTTTTCTTTAGTTAAAGCAAAGCGAAGCAAATGCAGACACCAAAGAAAAGCTCCCTTTGCGCTTGAGAATATTTGAAAAATTCCCCAACAGACCGCAAATGGTGAAAATCTCAAAACTGCCTTCAGATTTTACAGTTCCTAAAATCAGGTATTAAATTCTATCTTTCATTGCATATTTCAAACACACTGTAATCTTAAACCTGATTTGGCCTTTCTTTCAAACTGGCACGGGGTGGATTTGGGATTTTTTTTTTTTTTTTGAAGTTGTTATCTCTCTTTCCACTCCCTACCTCTGTGTTCCAAAGGCTTTGAGCTCCATGAGCAGTCTTTTCAGAGAGGAGGCAGTGGAGGGACAAGCTCGTTCCCAGCCTCTCTCCACCGCAGAGATCCAACCTCCCATGTAAAAGGCAGAAGTTTCTCACAGTGTGCGGAGGGTAGATAGAGCCCAGCCACCAGTTCTCAGTCATGAAGAATACAATCACCTCTGATAGCTTTATTTTCAAGTAAACCGGAAAACCACCTCTGGGAGGTTTCTGTAGGACTGGGGAGGTTTCGATAGGACTGCAGCATGGGAGAAGATGGCCCTGTCTAGTCACAGTGGAATTCAGTTCCCATTTGCTGAAAACTCATGGCATTTTGCAGTCACACAAATTGGATTTTGTATCTGTTTCACCCACCCAGTTAAGCAAATGCATACAGAAGGTGCTTTAAAACACCTGCTTTGGAACTGGAGAGATGGTTCAGCAGTCAAGAGTTTTGACTGCTCTGGTAGAGACCCTGGGTTCGGTTCCCAGTGCTGGTGAACAATGTGTAGCTCCAGTTCCAGGGAATCTGTCTCCCTCTTCTGACCTCCATGGACATTGCATGCAGGTGGTGCACCTACACACATTCAAGCAAAACACACGTACACATTAAATAATAAAAATAAATTACAGCATTTAAAACACCTGCTTTTAATAAAGTCTTCCAATGGTAACTCAAAAAGTTCCAAATACAATCAGGATCACAGGCACTTTTTTATTTAACTGGTTTTTAGTACATTTTGATGAGAGATTTAAAAGTATGAGACTGTGTATGGTGCCAAAATACTCCATTTCAAATAGAAAAGTAAAGATCTGTTTCACTTAAGAGCTTGGATATGTTCTGGGCAATGACTCTGTAGATGATTATATCCTTCTATCAATATCAGAGGGTGTGTTTATGCAAATTAATATGGCTCTGGCATCACTAGGTGATATAACTTGTGGGACCAATGTACATGTAGCCCATTGGTAACTAAAATATCTTTATGTAGCATGTGACAGTATTTGCACTTCTGATTTTTTAAAGAATTAATTGATTTTGGTTATTTGAAATTGTGCTATTTAAATTTCCACTATGTTTTGAAGATCAGATGAAGTCTTTCTCTTTTGAGTCTTTAAATGTAAAATTATCTCTCAAGGACTTTGATGATGCATAGAAGCCTGGAAAGATGAATTAATTCTTTCAAGTCTTAGAGAAAAGATAAAGACTCTCATTATGATAGATTCAAAACACATCAATTATGAATATTCTTATTTTAAAGTTATTTCAGGGACATTATGTTTTTAACAGGAGTGCATGAGGACACAGGAAGCTTTCTCTAAATTAAATGTTTTTGTTACAAAACCTAAGCACAGCTCTTGGTATGGCATGTCTTGCTTTTGGTGATCTTTGGTGTTGCTTCTTCTTCTCATCTTGGAGAAATTCCACCACTGGTCTCCTTTCTTCAGTGATGCATGACATGTGTGTTTCATTTACACAGGGAAAGTTTCATGAAGCAGTTCATTGATCGCCAGCAACAGGACACCTGCTGCCTCTTCAGAATCCTCCCTTCAACCTCCTCATCATCATGTGATCAAGCCAAGAAGTCTACAGGCGAAGACAACAACAAATACATTAACAGAAGAGTAAGAGCCACTGCCTCAAATTACCAATCTTTTCTTTCCATGTATTTTATTTATTATTTTTATTTCATGTCTATGGGTGTTTTGCTTGCATGTGTGTAAGTGCACCACATGTGTGCATTGCCCCACAGAGACCAGAAGAGAGTGTCAGATCCCCTGGAACTAGAATTATGGATAGTTGTTAGCCGCCATGTGGGCGCTGGGAACTGAACCTGGGTCCTCCGGAAGAATAGCAAGTGTTCTTAACCACTGAGCCATCTCTCCAGTCCTTTGCCAAACTTTTCCAAGCATGTGTTAAAGACAATCATGGTATAACTATTTAGAGTCCTGGATTCGTAGTTCTCAAGAGAGTAAAGAAGAAAACTGTAACCACCTACTTCCAGAGAAAACCAAAACACTGAAGCCCCAGAGTGCCCAGGGAAGCAAAACCAGAACACACTTTCTAATCACTGGAAATGATGTCCCACACGAAGTCATGTAAATTAACTTTCTCCATAAAAAGAGAATATGATATTTCTCACAAATCATTTATCAGTTGATGAGGGAATAAATAGGGAGATTCTTGGCAGGGGCATGTGTGTGTGCATGTACACCCTCATATGTGTTGGGGGTACTTAATGCACCCAATGCCCCAATTATCTTCTTGGTTTAGATTCTAAGAGCTTTAAATGGCATTTCTGATTTCCTTCATATCCTTATTTTTGTGATTTTTTTATCTTCTCATTTAACAATGATTTGTAACTAGTTGAAAACAGAATAGCAATTGCAGCTTTATTTTGCAGTCTTACATATGAGCCTCTCCCATCCTTCAAATGTTCACTAATTTAGCAAAGACACTGCCCTCCAAGTGTCATCCATCTTATTTAGCATGGGGAAAGTAGGGAGTTTTCGATGACCACAGTCATTCCCAGCCTCTGGATCTTATTGAAACCTACCCTGTATTGAGCAAAGACCATTATAGATGGCACTACTGTTCCATTCATCTCATCTCTACCTGGTTGGTCTTATACTGGCAAACTTCAGTTGAGAGGTGCTGTGCATCCCTCACGACATTCACTCTGCACTGGGTAAATGCTCAGATTTGGGAAATGGAAGGCACGTTCTCTCTGGGCCTCATCAGTTTGGTTAGCCTTGGAAGCTTTTCTTATGTTGGCATGTTGGCTTGGTTTTGGTGTCAAAAGGTAGATGTCTTCCTTTCTGGATCCACAGTTTGCAACTTCAACTTCCATCCGTTCCTTAGAGCTCTTCATCAATACCTAGTATTTCTCATCCTTATTGAGAACCCATGACAAGGGAAATCTAAGACCGAGACTCCATCGTGAGTGAGTCTCCATTGTGGGGGTTTCATGAAAGCAGAAATGGAAGAGAAATGTCAGCACTGGTATTTCAAGAACCCAAGAGTATCTGTTCAAAAATGGTAGCCATATGATTGAGATGAAACTCTAGGATTCCTTGTGTGAAATACGTCTCAATAACTTGAGCTATAAACTTGGCTTTCTGGCAGCCCAATGATAGGAAGTAGGCCAGCCAGCCATCAATAAATCCCTCAATGTCAGAGGTTTCCCTTGGTCAAGTCTAGGGACCCTCCTTGCTTTTTAGCCAGTGCTACCTTGATGTCTCTGCCTCTCTCTTAGTGGATGCAGCTTCCTAGGTCAGAAACCACCATGGTATGGAAACACTTGCAAGTGAGCATTTCAGAGCCACATCAGCCCAAAGGACATGGGTCCCCAGCCCCTTAAACACCTGTGCTCTACAGTTCTTCACATGGTATGAGTGCTTATGTGACAAAAATAATTAAAAATAACTCCCTTGCCTTTCTCCCTTTGGTTAAGCATATAATAAGCTCCATAAAAGCCTTCAAACTTAAGTTACAACTCAAACACAAAATGAAGAGGAAAATAATAGATTTTAATTATTATGTTTTATTTATTCTTTCCAGTTCCATGAGTCTTCTATAGTCACTCAGTCATTTAACAAATCTGTTTGGCATGCCTGTTATATGCTTATCTGCCATTCTTCTGGGATGTGGGAATTTATCAGTGAGCATGACAGGAACTTTAGAAGCTGATAATCTAATAGGGAGAAATGCACATAGACAGATGAAAGTAAAAAAAAAAAAAATTATCGGAGCCTTGAGACAGGACCACCTGAGGCCTCATGCTAGCACGGGGAATGTGGAAATGTGGAGAAGGGGGGCTCCAGGAAGATAGAGCCCTTCAGAAAGGCTGTGTGCTCCACAGAGCCAAGCAAAGCAGGGGAGAGCAGCTGAGTGCCTCAGGCTGCAATCCTCACTTGTAAAGTCTACTCTTACCTTAAGGTTTCTTATGAGAAATCAATACAATCGTGAATGTTAAAGTGTGTCATCGTGCCTCCCCAGCAGATAAGGTAAATGACTGGAAGCCAACCAGACTTTGACAGCAGCACCAAGCACGGTGGTGCACACCTCTAATCAGAGCCCTGGGGAAGTTGAAGCAGGAGGACTGTGCATTCAAGGCCAGCCTGGGCTGTGTAGTCGAAACCTGTTTCAAAAACAAAATAAAACAAAAGACAAATGGCCTTTTCTAAAACCAACAACCTTCAGATATAACAGTCTAGTTGAGCACTATGTGTTAACTACTAGCTTATTTTTCTTTTTAATGCATGGTCTGAGACTTTTTTAGACAATTCCATTGCTACACCCATTGCCTACTCTGTGTCCTATATTCTTGTGAAGTCAATTAAATGGTTCTATAAGATTTCCGCTTCACAAAGCCTTGTTGATTGCCATGCAACATTTTTGCAATTTTCTATATGATTATAGAGTGTTAGGTGATTTGTTCTAGTCATTTTGCACATAGCAAGTTACTCAACCTGATCTATAATTTGCAGAGTGAACATTTACTCAAAAAAATAAATAAATAAAGGCAGAGGAGGGTTGGGAAGCAAGCTGCCTTCTTCTTTAGGGATGCTGATCTTCTGAAATAATTTCCTAAAATAATAGCTTAGCAACTCTGAAGAGCTATTCAAGATGTCTCTCCAGGAGAGGAGGGAGAGATTATAGGGTGCTAACACATAACCATGTGCTGTATTTCAAAAATGCCAGGCAGAGTGGTCCTGTAGGGACAGAAAGGGCTGGTATTCACAATACCAAATATGAAAATCATGTGCATGTCTCTCAGATTTAAACTGCCTTCGTATATAACTAATTGACCACTTAGCCACAGTACTGGAGAGGAAATTAAAAATGCACAACAGAAAAATCAAAGCATTTTCCTTATTTTTACGTATCTTTATAAATTGTTGAACTCAAAGATCTGGCTGTTTTGGGGTGTACACTCTTCCATTCAGTAATCTTTGAGGACTGTCATATTCAAAGATGGTTCTGGGGTGAATGGGAAAGTAGTTTGCTATGTTTAACTAGTAATATATGACAATCCCTACCAATGAGTATTTTTTAAAAACTGTTTAAGTATTTTTAGTTGGGGGTATATGTAACCTGTTTATTATTTCTTGGGTATCTGTTCATGGAGGGGTATTTCTTGGGTATCTATCTGTTCATGGAAGGTCAAATACTACTTGGGGAGAGTCAAATACTACTTGGGGAGAGTCAGTTTTCTTCAGGAACGTGGCCCTTGATTGCACTTGCTCCAGTGGTCAGACCTACACCCATGTGCATATAGGCAACACTGATTGGACTCAGTAGGTTATATATATATACACACATGTAATTTCTTGGGTATCTGTTCATGGAGGGGTATTTCTTGGGTATCTATCTGTTCATGGAAGGTCAAATACTACTTGGGGAGAGTCAAATACTACTTGGGGAGAGTCAGTTTTCTTCAGGAACGTGGCCCTTGATTGCACTTGCGCCAGTGGTCAGACCTACACCCATGTGCATATAGGCAACACTGATTGGACTCAGTAGGTTATATATATATATACACACATGTACACACAAAAAGAAACACGGACACACACAGACACATGTATATATGAATATATGAAGTTGAAAGAGGGTGTGAGGCCAGAGAGGGTTTGGAGGGGGGGGAGGGGTGGATATGGTCAAAATGCATTATATGCATGTGTGAGAGCCTCAAAGAGTAAAAATAAACTTTTGGTAGGTAATGCAGGTTTAATCAAGCATTTTCTGACCATCTCAGAAATACGTATGAAGGAACTAAGGCCTCTGCTAAATCTAACTTTAAAATATGCATTTTGGGGGGTGCTGAGGAGATAGCTCAGCAGTTAAGAGCACTTGCTTCTCTTTCAGAAGGCCAGGGTTTGAATCCCAGCACCCATATGGTGGCTAGCAAACATCGATAGCTCCAGTTCTAGGGGATCCGATGCCTTATTCTGACCTCCCCAGGCACTGCACAATATGGGTGCATTTACATACATGCAGGCAAAACACTCATACACATAAAATAAATATAAATATATCAAAAATAATAAAATAAAATATGCATTTTGGGCCAGCCTTGGGAAGCTGTAAGTTTGAAGGCAGCCTGGTCTACATAGGAAGTTCCAGGTCAGTCAGTGCCTCATAGTGAGACCCTGTCTCTGAAGTAAATAAACATATAAATAAATTAATAAATAAAACTTGGCTAGATTTCTTTCTTCCTTTCAGTGTAGTTTTGCTCTAGGTCTTGTCTTCCATTAATTAAGCCAAGCTTTATGTGTCACAGCTGTTGTTACTCTCTATTTACATATTAGGTTCAAATGCAATTGAAATAGAGAGTCCCAGGATGGTTTAGACTCTGGATTTTAAATTCCTAAACAAATGCATGGTTAAAGCGATCTGGTATTTTCTCTAGAATCATAGGTCCACTCATCTGTCTGTTTATATGAGATATAAATGTAAAGTCATTTTGTCTTTTACATCTACAGCTCAACTCTCCCTAACACTTACTAGTTAACAGCACATATTAAACATTATCTACCTGTTTTCAGTAAGTAATTGGCATTGCTTCTTCCTCATGGTCTGTATCACAAGTTATTGCACCGCTGTAGCTGATATGTGAAAT